ACATACATACATACATACATACATACATACATACATACATACATACACACACTCGTGGTGTTGCTTTGTTGCTTGTGGATTGAAGCGCGTGTGCATTATTCAGGGGGAATGAATGTGGGTTGTCAATTCTAAGCTGCGTATGAAAAACATCACGTGTCTTTCTTGCAAACCTCAGCATCGCGTGGTCAGACATCAGCGCCACAATTCCTCCAGCCAGGAGACAGTGTCCACTCAGGATCTGCTGCGGGTTTCAGTGCCTCGGTGGATCTCAGTGGTGAAATGTGAACCTGACACGCGAGGTCGTTTAGATTGGAAGAACAGGAGACCCCCCCCTTTGGCCCAACTTTTTTTGGCCTTTGCAGTTTGGATCAGTTTGGTACCTGCAGGCGGTAATGAGTCAGTGTCAGCAGAGCGTGTACTAGACACAAACGAGAGCAAGAGATGGCAAGAGATTAAGCGCCTGCAATCGACGGCATCCCTGCAGTTTTTTTATAATGTGTTTGGAGCGTGCATTGCTTTAAGGAAAGCCAGTAGGCTAGGCAGCAGTTAGTTTCTGCTAACGAAGTGAAGATCTAGGGGGTAGGGCCTAGAAAACTCAATCATGGTTTCATTTCCTGATGGAGACAGTTTTGGCCGTAAATTACCGATGCAGAAAACACAAGTCGTAATGGTAGTGCATCATTTGTATCAGCAAGGTGGTTGTAAAAGATGCCTATCGCTGGTGGTGCTGCTGGTCCTTTGCTGTTGGCTTGCTGGTTTGCTATTGGTGTGCTGCCGGTTGCGGGTCCCTTTGGTCGCAGTATTTTTATACACAGCCTCTTGGTATGGAAATAGTCGCAAAGAACGCGCAAAACACGCTCTTGGCCCAACAGGTTCTACCTAAGTTTTTTGTAGAATGTGTACACATGTTTGTAATTTTGAGGTATAGGATTAATCAACCCCCCTTCAAGGTCAACAAGGTTTGAGATTGAAGGTATTGGACACCACATCCCCCTATATAATAAAAGTGATGACCTGATGATGGATGATGAGACGATGACCTGGACCTGATGATTGATGATGGTTGATGGGATTCTGTGTGGATGTTGAGAGTTTGAACTATGAGAACCATGAGAGCTCTTAGTATGGCACAAGCTTGGTAAGAGCTCTGATCGATGAGAATGATTGATTGATGAGAGGATCAACATGGGAAAAGAGTGGATCAGAATGCTATCTCTCACAGAGATGGTATGTGAAAAGGGTGGATCAAAAGATCAGTTTCACCATGGATCAGTTTCACTGTAGGCAGATATTGGATGCTAAGTGGAAATAAATACTTTTTTTTCCTGGGCCAGCTGGGCTTGATTAATAGCGGGATTAGGGTGATGGAAATGTGGAAAGCCTGGGATTAAATTAGTGTAGTATTGGGGGCTCGAGCTGGGCTTGATTAATAGGGGCCAATATGGGGAGGTTGCTTTACCCTAGGTCAACATTATGTAATGCTGCTGATGCCAGACCAGAGCAGAGTCGGTGAGGCTTGAGTGCTGCAGGGTAAACCCAGAGCCTGTTCCAAGAGCTTTATGTGGCTTGCGCCCGAACGCTTGCACCAGATCTATCGTTGGGAGTGAATCCGGACACATCACATCACTAGTTATCCAGAGCAAAATTGACACACAGCGACAGGTGACGGGTGACGCCAAGATCCACCCGAGGGACATGTGCAACGATGTGCAACATTTCATTTTGTTGTTGTCGTTTTTTTTCTCCAGGGCAGGTTCAATATATAGTTTGTTGTTTAGGGTCTATGGCAACGCCAGCTATTTACCTTAGAACACAATTATAGGGGAAGCTGTGTTGGGTGATTTTGTTCCGGCAGTATGGACCAATGGATACGTCTTGAGTAGATTTAAAGTGGTATATAGTTTGTGTGAAACCTTCTCATGTATATTGAGATGAGATGGACGTGGTGCCTGTAAATCAATAATTAGCAGAACCCAGTTGGTGAATATGGTCTGTACATGTTTCTATGACAATGGGGAGACCTCCCCACGGATTTGGTTTATTGTTGTTCTTCCAGGAGGTTTTAACAATTAATAGGGATACACTCCCATACAAACAAACATTCTCCACCGTCGTCACGTCCAAGGCCTTTGATGAAGCGGCCATAAGACGGCAGCAGGCGGAGCAGGAGGCGAGGCGGAGCAGCAGTTCGCGGCCTTGTTGGGGCGACGTGGACAGATGATCGCGTTCTAAGAGATATAAACCGTATTAAAACAAATGCAAGGCAATACATGACTATAGGCTTTGCGGAATTTGACATTGCCAGTGGTTTCATGTTTCAGCCTTCAGCTGTGTAACAAGGCACTCGAAGCCTTGGAGAGGCAGCGTCAGCGGGAAGCGACTCTTGGAGAATTGGGGTTGCCAAAAAAGCATTGGATCCAGTGCTGACAAAAAGACATGAAGGTTTGTCACGAAATGAGGGGAGTGGAAACCTCGCAGGTGGCCAGGAAACACGCTGCCTACCGCAGGGTCCCTTTTTTCAATTATTGACAAACGAGAAAGACCTGACAACATAAACAATGAACAAGTATCTTGGGAAGATCATACCATATGTGCCCTCCAAATCCCTCCAATGCAATCCTAGTGTGATGGTCGTGGCTGTTCGGGGATGCTTTTTCCGACAAACTGAAGCTTTACTCACAATCGTTTTTCGCTTCTGTTTGGCTGCCCATGCGCCAAATTGATGGCTAAAAATTATATGGCTTTTTCTCCACCTGTCAGGTGAGGGTTGTTAGATTTTAGAAGAGGCCTTATCCTGTGTCTCCTCCTCCTCATCCTCTCCTCATCGTCCTGCGAAGGCGCTGCGTTTTGTGGTGACTTGTCGACACCACCCCCGGCCTAAGAAGAAAAGAAAGAATGTATAAAGCAAGGAAGGGAAGGGAAGGGAAAGGACACGACACGACACGACACGGCAGGACACGACAAGACAAGAAAAGAAAAGAAGCCAACAGGAAAGGAAAGGTAAGGCAAGGAAAGGAAAGGAAGAAAGAGAAAAAGAAAATCTTAGCGAAAAGAGAAGGAAAGACAGACAGACGGACGGACCGACAGACAGACAGACCGACAGAACGAAAGAAAGAACGAGGAAAGGAAAGTAAGGAAAGGACAGGACAGGGAAGGAAAGGAAAGAAAGACTGAAAGACAGAAAGACAGAAGGAAAAACAGAACGAAATTTGAAGATGTGCATGTCTGGATGTGTGGGGATGTCAAGATGTGAAATGTAAACGCGTGCAGATGTGAAGAAGTGTTGGCGTGGAATTTGCAACTCTGGATATGCACGAGTGTAAGTTGTGATTCGTGATGATCTGTAGCACGCCGGCTTGTCATAAAAGAGCCCTTTGTGCAGGCGTTCTCGGGAAAAAGGCGCCGCAGGCAACGCGTACCGACACCGCAGCACAGCAAATGCGTGCCTGGTCTCACTATAATAATCACCACCACTTCCACTCACCACTCCATTTGTGCACAATCCTTCTTGTTGCTTGCGTAACTGAGTTACTATAGGCTCCTACATCCACAGAAGGCGTGTTAACAAACAAATTCTAAGTAAACAAAAGGGAGGAGAGTAAGTAGTTTATACATCATCAGTTACTGTGGAAAAAATCAGCTACTTACTTTTCAACCAACGTTTTCGCCAACCGGACAGCAGATCCGTGTTAACGCTCGGCTTCAACTCCGCAATCTATGCATTTTCCCATATGTTTCCTCCTACTGCGGGTATGTTGCTGGTCCTTTAGTCACTAGTCTAGTTCAACGCAGCCAAATGAAAAAAAGTGAAACTCTTGGTTTGAACGCAACCAGTTGTGAGTCAGGTATTTTTTTCAACATGCTTGCAAACTTAGACTGGTGTCATCCATGGTTCTTTTATGGTTTTTGTACATTTTTGTGGAACGTTTTTGTAAATTCGCTGAACTTCCGGCAGCCGGAACTGCACCAAGGAATCTGGCCGAAGAGCAAAGGCAGCAACGACTGCTACAGGACTGGGACAGATTGGAGGGATTGGTAGAACGACTTGTCGCACCATGCATCAATTGTTTTTGGGATGAATTCCGGCCAACACATGCACGATCTTGATTTCATTGGTGCTGCTGCTTTGATACCACGCGGCATATCCCAGATTGTAGAGTGGTAGGAATTTAATGTGGAACAGTAACCTTGCAGCACACTCGATAGGGTTCCAAATTAGAGTGGGTGATATTGGTATTTTTATTTTTGTCGCGCCAGGCCAAATTCGAGACTGTCTGTGCTGATGCCTATTTGAACCCAGAGCTCAGCCAAATCATGATCAAGGCTTGAGCAGTGCTTGAGCTGGCTTCAAAAGCCAGGATTGAACTCAGAAGTTGCAATTTGGAGGAATCGGAGAAACATTATATAGAAAATAATGCTATATAATGCTATTATTATAACCCTGGGAGTCAAAGACTATAATAAGAATGGTCTTTAGGGGACCTGAAAGGGAACTTCCTTTACTTCAGACAGTCAAAATATAGTCTTTGGACTTCTAGGGATAATGTATATAACAGACTTAATATCAATGCGTGCTTGCGTTTGTCACTCTGCCCTCCTTTTATCACATCATACCGTTCCATTCGTGAGTACATTGGATCCCCAATCAGCCAGTTGTGTTGCAACAGCGGCCGTCGGCTGCCAATCACTGACCCAAAACAGCGCTTTGCATTGCAAGGTGCTGTAATGAGATGTAAATAGGATCTTCAGTAGATGATTCCATATGATCAGTGGACCAGTGGATTTCAAGAGCCCTTTTTTGGTGTGCACTTGAATCCAAAATGAACAGACTTCTATTTTTGTAGATGCTCACCCGGAAGGCTGGGATTCTTTGATGTTTAGCTTGGATTCGCACGATCCAACAGAAGACAACTGACTGGCCGAAGCTTTCAGGGTGCTGTGCTGGCCTATCCCATGGATCTCAAGGCGTTCGGAGAGCGTCGTTCGAAACATGGGGATGGATGGATGGGTGTTCGCATCAACTGCAGAGACTTCATCTTCACAAAGACACCATTGAAGCCTGGAACGACTGGGAAAGAAAGCCTGTCATTGAGATTTTCCAGGCTTTCATTGAGACTTCATCTTCACAAAGGTGTTCAGCTGTGATGAAAGCCTGGAAAGCCTGGAAGACCCAACTCTTCTCACCTGTGAAGACCTTCTCACCTGTCATCCGTCACCTGAACAAAGAACGCCTCTTATATTAAGTTCCAAAAGATGGTGGCATCTGCAAAATCATGCTGGCTTGGGCTCTTGCCAAAAGATTCCCAAAAGCTTTCCAAACGGACCCTTGGCTGTCTTGACAGCCTATCACGGATCAACTCCCTCAGCCACGACTGGCCCCACTGGCGGAATTCCACCGATCAGGGAGAACACATCATCCTGATCCTTCAGCTGCTACGAGCCTGGGGCCACTCATTGGTGGATGACGAGGGCAACCACGTGGAGCAGGCTGGTGGACCACGTGCGAAGTCGATGGGCCAAGCTGGGCCAGATCAGCTAAACCTAAACATTTGCGTTGAACCTGTTAAAAGCATGATGACACATCCTCATGGCGGCTATTCTGTCCTTCTCATCCATCCTCAAACATGCCTCCAGCTCGCATGCGCTTTGTGGCAGCGCTGGGCACGCAGAAACTCACTAATGAGCTTGTAGGAAGGTTTTGCTACATTTTGCTGCCTCCTCAAAATCTTTGTTGCATGCGTTTGGCCACAAATCCTTTGCATGAAGTTTTGGCGCTCAGGACGAGTGGGATGAACGAACAAAGGAGCTTTGGATCGAGTGGCGAAAAGCTCATGGGCCACAGACACTTGGCTGCATAATGCTGCATGTGTATATATATATACTGCGTGTATACATATATATATATACATAATCATATATATATATATAATAGTTATTATCAAATTTCACGAGGTCCTGGTTCCCAGGGCCGGCCTTTGTTTTTAACCACTGCAGCAGATTGACACCCTGGGCAGCTCACATTGCGTCTCACTTCTGGGCCCCCCTGTCAAATTTTGTTGCAACCACGATGGATTCCCTGAAAAGTTATCACCCATTAACCATTAGTCCTATGCATATGGCCGACAGAGGGGGTTCCTTCAAGTTCCGGGAATCACAACCCTCTTGTGTAAAGCATGCAACTGGCAGTGCCGAGAAGACGCCGAGAAAGAAGATTAATGATTATTGAGGGCCAGCTGGGCAGGTTTTTTGGTTGCGCTCCGTTGGCTTGTTTGTTTGGTTGGCTGGTTGTTTTCTTACTTGTTTGGCTTGGCTTGGTTTGGGCTGATTGGTTTGTTTTGGCTTTTGCTTGTTTGCTTTGTGTTGTTTGGGTTAGTTTTGTGTGTTTTTTGTTTTGGCTTGCTTGCTTGATTGTATTGTTTCGCTTGGCTTGGTTGTTTTGTTTTGTTGTCATGCTTGTTTGACTGTTTCTTTATTTGGTTGGCTGGGTTGGTTTGGCTTGATTGGTGTGTTTTGTTTTTTTGTGCTTGTTCTGTATTGCTAGGGTTAGGTTTGCTTGTTTTTTGTTTTGGTGTGCTTGCTTGCTTGATTGTTTTTTGTTGCTGCTATGCTTGCTTGATTGGTTGCTTTTTATGTGTTTTGCTTGGCTTGGTGTTGGCTTGTTTGTTTGATTGTTTTGTTTCGTTTGGCTTGGCTTGGGCTGGGTCTTGGCTTGTTGTTTTGTGTTTTTGTTTGTTGTGGTTCGTGTCGGCTTGGTTTGTTTGTTTTGTTTGAGTTTGGCTGCTTGTTTTGTTTGGCTTGGGCTTGTTGTTTTGTGTTGCTTTGTCTGGTTGTTGTGTTTGGCTTCACCGTTCACCTGCAACGAAAAACATTCCCCGCATGTGGCCAGTTTGTGCTCATTTTTCACCTCCAGGTCAGGGTCGTTAGATTCTATATACAACTTCAACCACAAGCCACAACCACAAACAAACAACACACAACAACAAACACACAGTCACCACATGTCAAGCGCAAACACAACCACAAACCCAAGCACACAATACAAACACAACCACAAACCGACCACAAACACACAACACGCAATGACAACCACAAAGGCGCATTCACAGCACACAACCACAGCACACAACCACAACACACAACCACAAACACACAACCACGACACACAACCACAAAGGCATACAAAGTTACTTTTACAGCACACAACTACAGCACATGACCACAACACACAACCACAATCACAGCGCACAACCCGGGGACCCACGAACAAAGTCGAGAACCACAAACTCACGACCATGGCAACATGCTGCTCCTCACTTTGGCATGAAGACAAATGATTGCAATGTCACGGTGGGGATCATTGGGATCACTCGAAGTGCAGTAAATAACTTTATTAATTAAGCGCGCGTGCTTTTGGCCCTTTCTGATTGTCGATCACCAAGTTCCTGGCGGTCATACAGTTTGTGGAGACGTTGAAGCCTAAACCCTAACAGCCTAAACGCCTAAACGTCGCTCATCATCGTGAGGTTGACTTCAAGGAGACGGACTACATACAGTCGCGTACGCAGCGGAGGCCCACTCTGGCCAAAGGCTTCGCACAGTCGCAAAGAGCGGCGGGAAGCCAGAGATCTCTCCGGAGCAGAAGCGCCAGACAGAATCAGAATGGCCGGTGGTCATGGCCAGCGCTTCATGGTCATGTCTTGGACGCAGACAGTAGCAGCGAGAGCATCAAGCTGCTTTGCAATCGCCGGGCGATCTACGTCGACGTCATGGACAGTGAGGCCATGCAGCTGAAATCGAGACAATGAAAAGCTGCTGCAGAGGCTCAGCGGCCCTGCGTGGACATGGAATGCTCCGCTGGAGGATGGTTGTCAATGGTTGTTGCAGGTGATAGCTCTCTGCTGGAGGATGGTTGTCAATGGTTGTTGCAGGTGATAGCTCTCTGGCGAAAGCCTAAGGCTTTAAGGCTAGCTGCCAGTCGACTACAGTCGGCCGCAAACAGGAAAGCCGAAAATGATGGGCCGACATGATCAAATGCCACGAGTCAGGAGTCTTTGAGTGAGACTGAGACCCCATCGACGGCGCCGGTGTGCCACGATTCATTCCAAACATAAGACGTTGCTTCCACCTGGGCTAAAGCCTGAGAAGACTGGCGCTGACAACCGCCGGCGGATCTTGTCTTGTCAGTGGATCTGCGCGACCCAAATCTCCAAGGGAGATCTTCGAGGAGCTGCGCTGGGCTACGCTACAGTGCCGCGACCCCCTCCCTCCCCCACCCACGTTTCTCTGCCGGGTGGACCCCCTCAGAGAAACTCTTTGACATGGTTTGGCACCAAATGCGCATCATGTGTGACCCTATCACACAGCCAGTCAGGCAGAAGCAGCTCCAATGCTTACAGGGGGTTTGAAGGAAGAGGGTTTTGTGGAACGCAACGCATTGGCAGAGGTAACGGCCTTGGCTTGGTTCCCGCCCCATATGGTTGGGAACCTTTGGTGCCTTGAGCAACCGGCCAAGTCAGTGCTGCCCCTGACTTCATCAATGGCCAGCGTTTAGTCTTGCGAAACATTGACATACTCTGGACCTTTTGGAGCTCGAACTTGCAAGCCACTGCAAGTGTGGTCCACTTTTCGGAGATTTGACTCCTTGGCGCGGGAGAAGCCTGCCTGCGCTGCTGAGGAGTGTGATTCCTTGATTGTGGTGGGCGTGGAACTTGCAAAACCTTCACTGGAAAGGGTGAGGTTGTCACAGAAAGCGGTCACTACCCCGAACTCCTTTGTGAAGATCTCCAAGGTGTATCGGAGGAATCTGGAAGGGGAAAGAACAAACCTGGAAGTTCGTGGAGCCTGCAACTCTGAAATGGCCGTGGCTGCATCCAAAAGCTTCCAGGCGCCCGCGCAAAGGTCGAGCGGGCGAATGCAACATATGGGTTAGACGTATTATCTGGATGTTTTGGGGTCGAGGTGAGCTTGCTAAGAAAGCCCAGCGCCCTTTCTTTCGAAAACATGCAGCCAGTATTTGATATTTCGTGTGTGTGTGTGAAACTTCCGGGGTCTCTTTCAGCGATAGCACATGTTGACACGGTTGACGACAAGTAATGACATCAGCGACCGCTGGACATCGCATGGCGTGTTGTTCAATTTTGCTATGCCCCACTCAAGACCGAGTATTGTCTCAAGGAAGGCTGACGCTATCCAAATCCATGCCATGGATTCTCTTGGGTGAGAAAAATCCAGAGGATTTTTAAAACGGAAATAGCGAATAAAGTGTAGAATTTGCTTGTAGAGCTGCACCTAATGCGCATACCCCGCGCATCCTCTGCTTTGATAGTGATTCTCAATCTCATCTGATAAACAGTTTTACACGACGACGTGCCCCAACTTCCACAAGCCCGCCTACGAACGTCGTGTTGCGCGCCTGGGCACGTTGCGCGGTGAGTGGCTTGCGAAAGGAACTCTTGCTGTAGTCTCGAGAAAGGTTTCCATAGTCTTCTTGTTGAGAGACAGTTACAACCGTCTTCTTGGTAAGAGCGCCGACCGTTCAGGATAATGAGCGCTGAATCTCTCACCTGCATCACCACGAAAAGGTTCTGTTTGAAGGTTGAACATGTTCAAGCTTTTTCGGCGAAGACCTCTTTCGCTTCACAGCCGTTTCGTGAAAGCCTCCGTGAAAGGAGTTATGTTGCAGAAAACACCGCAGAACGCACGCGAAGGCTTTCGCAAAAGGGCTAAGGAGTCATGAGCTTTCGCCCGCCAGGTTTTGCCGAGCTGCCCGTTGCCAGTCCCACACCGTCATCCCACGGCATTGTATCTCTGAGGCCTTAGCTCAAAAGTCAAAAGGGACCTATATCGTTCTGGGTCCTGGGATGCAAACGGACCGGGTAGCAAATTTAGCTCCGTTACAAATTTACAAACAAATACTGTACCCTGATCTGCCAAAAGTCTCTATTCAATTTTAAGGTGTTTTCTACCACGCTTAAGGACTATAGTCGTTAATTATTTCAAGGGGCTTTCGTTGGAAAACTTCGAAATGAGTGCTCGGTCAAGACCTTTGGCGCAGTGAGCACTGGGTCATGAACTGTGACGCAGTGAGCATTTGCGCCTCTTGCGCGCGCCCACATAAGCCTGCAGCCGCCTGAGCATAGGACCTTTCTTGACTGTAGGCAGCCATGAGCGGCGGTCGCGCGCGCAACACGGCAAGCGCAGAAGACCTATGCAAGCTGATGCGTTTGCATGTGGGCCAGTTGCGCGATGAGAAATACAATATACAAGCCGAGCAACTAATGAGGACTTGGTGGCAGAATACGAAGGCCTCATGTTGGACACCCTGGCTTTGACAGAGCGAGCGCCCCAACCGCTCAGCCTTGGAAGCTGCTGCCAAGAAAGCGTTTGCTGGAGTGCAGGCCTCTGAGAAGGCAATGTTTGCCCAGCAGTTCCACAAGGACAAAAGTGCTTGCAAGCATCACACACACACACACACTCTTTTGACTCTTTGAATTACAGGGTCAAAGACACGTTGCAAGCCACTCTTTGGCTACAAAGACGATGGCGTGGCCCGGGTTCACAATATATGACCATTGTCCGAATACCGAACAGGTGGTGAAATCCATGTACATCGATAACCATTCATAACCGTATTGCCCAGTCATTTTGGATCGCCCATGATCTTGCAACGCGCGCACTAGACCGGAGATCTCCGGAATGAACGTCGGTACCACCTCTGCCCCACCGATCATGTGAGCACCGTCCCGTCGAGAACGTCCGCAGGTCGCCGATGGATTCGGGAGGCAGGTGTGATGTGATTTTTTCTCTCGGTGGGGCTTTTGACGGCAAAAGATATCAGAGTGGTTAGTGTCACATATTTGTGGCAACTATAGGATCTGTGGATCTCTGAACGCATCGTGCGCCCAACAGACCCTGCCGTTGTCGCCCTTCAAGGGGAAAGTGGGCGTCTCAGACTCAGTGCTTAGCACAAGTAGTACGACTCACATAAATCCAAGACCGTCCGTTGATGCACAAGTTGTTGTACATTTCAGATGTCTGCGCCCTTACCTGGAAAATGCTCGAGCTGCTAGAAGTGCTCGTTTCAGGAGAAAGTGCTCGAGGCTATCCCCTATGCCGCTGCTGGCCTGCTTCTGCTGCTGCTGGTCTGCTGGTGCGGTGCTGCTGCTGCTGCTGCTGCTTCTTGGTGGGCTGCTGCTGCTGCTGTGGCGTCGGCGGTGGCTGCTGCTTGGTGTTCTGCTGCTGCTGCTTGGTCTGCTGCTGCCTCTGCTGCTGCTTGGTGGGCTGCTGCTGCCGCTGACTGACCTTCGGTTGCTTACCAACGGCTTACACCAAACAACGGTTTGCGCCAACCACCGTTTACACCAAACCACGCTTTACACCAACCACGGTTTACGCCAAACCACTAGCTGCTTTGCTGCTTTGCTGCTGCTGCTGCTGCTCTGCTGGTCTGCTGCTGCTGCTCCTGCTCCTCCTGCTGCTGCCGCTGCTTGGTCTGCTTGGTCTGCTGCTGCCGCTGCTGCTGCTGCTGCTTCTGCTTGGTCTGCTGCTGTTGCTGCTGCTTGGTCTGCTGCTGCTGTTGCTGCTGCTTGGTCTGCTGCGTCTGCTGCTGCTCCTGCTTGGTCTGCTGCTGCTGTTGCTGCTGCTTGGTCTGCTGCTGCCTTTGCTGCTGCTTGGTTTGCTGCTGCTTGGTGGGCTGCTGCTGCTGCTGCGGCGGCGGCGGCGGCTGCTACTTGGCGGTCTGCTGCTCCAGCTGCTGCCGCTGACCTTCGGTTGCTGGCCAACCACGCCTTACACCAAACAACCCTTTCACCAAACACGGTTTACACGAAACCAATAGCTGCTGCTGTTGGTCTGCTGCTGCTGGTCTGCTGCTCCTGCTGGTTTGCTGCTGCTGCTGGTGCTGCTGCTGCTTGCTGGTCTGCTGCCTCTGCTGCTGCTCGGTGGGCTGCTTCTCCGGCGGCGGCTGCTGCTGCTGCTACTTGGTGGGCTGCTGCTCCAGCTGCTGCCGCTGACCTTCGGTTGCTTACCAACCACGGCTTGCGCCAACTAACGGTTTGCGCCAACTGCCGTTTACACGAAACCACGCTTTACACCAACCATAGTTTACAGCAAACCATAAGCTTTTTGCTGCTGTTTGTCTGTTGCTGCTGCTGGCTTTTCTATTGCTGCTGCTTGGTGGTCTGTTGCTGCTGGCTGCTGCTTGGTGGTCTGCTGCTCCTCCTTTACCTGCCCTCCTTCGGTCCGTGAAGTTGACATGGATAAGCGCCAGCCGCTTTGCCCGAAATGGAAGTTCTTAAAATTGTCCAGAGTCCAAACTGTCAAACGGTCCAGTGAACATAATGTCTTCAACTGATCAAATTGTCCAG